ATAATTACCAATATTACATTTTTTAGTGAATATAATCTCGCCCCTACGATATTATCGGACATCCCTAGTTCAGGTTATGGGTTGCTAAGACCTGCAGTGGAAAAGAGATGATATTGGCTTTAGCTAAGAGACTGGATATTTTCTCAATAACTTAAAGTCACTGTACAGTGGGATCTCTTCACAGCCAGTATAGGAGAAGAGGAACAATAACAGTGACCAGTAACATGTCAACATTGCTTTTAGCTGTGTTATTATACCATCTGGATGACTTTATTGTATTTTGGATGTAACCAGGTATGGACATAATAAAACCCTTCATCAGATGCCTTTGTTCACCTGTCAGTGTTGTTTGCAGAAGCCACTGTGCTTTTGTGAGGCGTCAGCTTTGCCACGCTGCAGTGTGAGCGGTTTCCCCATCACTGGCTGTCAGCTAACACACCTGCAGCTGCTTCACAGCTCTGCCGCTAATCATTACACTCCTCAATCTTTACTCACGATCCTTCATCACAGCCGAATTAAAGTGTGTTTTTCTATGAAATGGGCTGAAATTATCAGTCCAATTGAGATGTCACTCAAAATAAGATGAAAAGCGCCCAAACTAGAAAGTATTGAGATATTGTTGTGTTTCAGGTGACGTTTGCCTGTAGGTGAATCTAAAGACTGTATGAAGGGGGAAGCATGCATGGCAAGCTCAGCAAGTCCAGTTGTTTTAGAACAGATGTTTGTTTTTTGACCCTCCTGCTTCCTGTCCTGCGTTTCCTCTAGATGGTGTCCGGTGTACCGCCTGCTGGTCTCCATCTCCTAGCTCCTCGATGAGCCCCCCTCCCCTACGATGCAACCTTGGCGGACCAAGCCCTGAAGCAATCTGACATACTAATACTACTACCACCATTAATTACTACTACAGCTACCATGGGAAGCCAGCTTCTGACTCAGCACGAACTGCTTTCTGAACGACTGCTCACAGTACTGTTGCCTCCTTCAGAATCTTGTACAATCTCTCTTTCACTCTCTTCCCGTTTGTGTGTTGGTCTGACCCCACCCCAAAACATTTAAGGGGTGTTGGACCTCCGGACTGTCCACTTTTTCAGGAGACGTTTGCACAACCCTCCACACTGCCCCACCACCAGAGTCTGAACGGGCAGTGCTTCCAGTGTAGTCCAGGGCAGACATGGCAACCCAGCAGTCTTTTCCAGGACACTGACTGACTGATGAAACAACGCCACTGGCTCCTCCTTCCTCTGTGGACACTTGTTGTCATTGATTGATGACCCTACATTTTCACTGTCTGCTACTTACATACCTGATCAATAAAACAGCTTTTCTCTCTCTTTTGCAGTAAGATGTATCAAGCTGAACCAGCAGCTCTTCATTGTATATAAATGTACGGGCAGGTTTATTTTGGCAGTGTGATGCTTTTCATTGGTATTTTGAAGTTTTCATTCCCTCCTCCCACCAGCCGCTTTTCCTGTTTTTAATACCACTCATCGACGGCTTTCTTCAGTAACCCTATAGCCATTTGTATTAAATAAAAAGAAACTACTTCTTTGCATGTTTTAGAGGCGAGCCTTCAGTCGGGCGCAGAGGCTCAAGTGCTAGTTGAACCCTGGGATGTACCAAATGTATGCTTTGGTAACTTGGGTGCAGGAGGTTGTGTGTTCACCCATTAGTTATTGTTCTGTCAGTTCACCTCCAGGCTCTGGTGTACTGTCCAATGAGCCCTGTTCTCTTTCTAATGTTCCGTACAAAAGGAAGTGCACTTTATGAGGGTGCAAGGGCATCATATTGTTGACACATTTTACCAGATGTCCATTCACTGTGTACAGATAAACATTCTCATATTTCTTTCTTATTTGTATGATTTCCAAGCTGTGAATTACTTGTAATATTGATGTGTAAATGTTTTTTTCATATTATGTTTAAACTGACCTTGTAGGGACAGGTCTGAACATTCACAGACTTCTTAGCGTGGTCCAGGAACCTAGCTGCTCCAAGTTCGGGCTGGCATAAGTGTAGTATTCTGCCCCCCGCCCTTTTAGAGCCATGGAGTTGAACAGAACAGTCACAGCTTCTGCTCTCAATACGAGCCGTTCAGTGATCCTGCACCCGTTTTGCAAACAAACTGCAGGGTGGTCATGGAAAATGCATTCTGTTACATAAACAATTATTGGAAGGATTCTTTGTTGAGAGGAAAGCTGTCCATGTTTTCACAGGCTTCTCCAGCAGCAGCGTTTTGGGATTTTTCTATTCAACTCGTTTGACACTGGCTGTGATGAATAACTCTGCCATGCCTGTTGTAATTAATTCTCGCTGCTGCTGCTCATGCTATAAATAGTTTTTTGATTTTGACCCATGACCTCTTTGGTCAGACACTCTACACCTATTGAATTATGTAAGCAACCGGAGCAGCAAGATTTACTTTCTCACATTTATATTTGCCACTGTATTTGTGTACTTAAACTGTAAATAAATGAATTACTTGTACCTTTCTTGTGCCGTTACTTGTTCCCGCACAAACATCACTGGGCCCCTGAAAAGGTCCAGTTAGAGGGCCCAATGGTTTATTCATATCCATGCATGCCTGTGCTCTCTCCTGCATAAACTGACCGAGGCTGTGAAATTAGCCTCCTGGTGGCCTCGTTAGCCTGGCCTGAGCAAAGTTGGTCATTACATTATTATTAGTAAGTATCTAAAGATCTTACCAAATCCCTCTTCTCCTTTCTCTTCTGACATCCTGATTTTAAAGCTGCAGTAGGTAACTTTTTTCTGAAACATTCACTATATCCTGACAGTAGTATATGAGACAGATAATCTGTCAAACAATCAGGTTCCTCTGGCTCCTCCTAGTGATCCTGATGGTGTCCTAGAATCCACTGGGCTGAATAAAGAAGGTCCCAAGGTGTCAGTATTTGACACCCTGGGAATGAGACTGCAGCTTTAAGCAGCTCCAACATTAAGTTAGAGTAGTTATGTTAGATCAGAACATTTATGAGGTCAGATCATACTATTTTCAGAAGAGTGGGTTTTTTATGAAACAGGCTACATTTCACTAAATCAACAATAATAATGTTTGTTTTTTGTTTCAATAACAAAGGTAAGTATTTGTTTAAAATAAAATGTTATAGTGCTGGCCCCCACCGGGCCCACCCTCTAGTAGTTCTGAATAGTTTGTGTAAATGAATCAGTTGAGCTCAATGACCAAAAGGGGGTGCTATAGGAAAGCTTAGAGTGGTGCAAAAAATGATAAAGACCTTAATGTGCGTGTACGATTTAGTGGCATCTAGTGGTGTAATTTCAAATTGCAACTGCCTAGAAACTGCAATGGTTGTGGAATGTGCTACCTACAAACAGTGTTTGCTTTGTCCCTTGGTTTTATTGTTTTGTTGTCTGTTTAATTTTGTCTTTATCTTTTGCTGGAGAATGCTGCGCCTCAGGTATGAAATATGCTATATAAATACATCTGCCTTTCATTCTGGGCTACTGTAGAAACACTGAAGTTCAACAGGGCGGACTTCACAAAAGGCGACCCGTGGTTCGTTTTTAGCTAACAAAGACATTACAATAAATATATTCAGGTGATTACACACTGATGAAAACATAGTTCTGCATTTTATGCTCCATTTCTTCCAATAGATCCTAAATGTTACACACTGGACCTTTAAAATACAGCTGGTAAATCAGATTATTGTCTAAATAAGACTTATCATCCGAGGAATTGAAGCAGCAGTGCAGTTAAAAGGGGTCGATGCCCAACGCTTCATGTGGATGTAAACCTGTTACTGAATGGTACAAAGATGTCATTTTACTCAACAGAAAATATATTTATTTGGGAAACACATGCCCATGTTGTGTCAGACATCACTCAGAAATACAGCAGTGTAAGTGCACTGGGTGTGTGCTACGTTCATCACCCACTGAACACATACATAGAAGGCACAGAGCACATAGATCACAGCATCTGGCATCATACCAACACATAACACAGCAGTTCCCAGTGTGGCAGCATGAAGCAGACCTTTACAGAGTACTAAAGACAACGTAGGACATACATTCATCAGCAACAGTACACTGCAGAGACTAACAATCCAGGTTTGTACCATTGTCTTATAGTCTCAGACAGCAACCGGAGGAAGGCTCACAAAGTAGCACACATCGATCGTGGGTTAGACAACAAAACAGATATCCCAACCATGTGTGAACAGCTACAGTGTGTAATACAGCTGCCAGGGTGCATGTTAAGTGCCCCAAATATTCAACCGTTTCATTTTTACAAGTTTTTGAATGTGAAGTCATGTCAATAAATACTTGCAATAAATAAAGCAAAAGAGTGCAACCAACAACATGTACATTATTTGAGTGTGAAAAGTCATTCTTGATCATTTTTATTCTTAACACTGTGTCCACTTAATAGCTTTTTCCAGAGCATCTCACGGTCCTTGTTAGTGAATGGAGTTGTCGTTATGTGAACTAAGCATGGCGCTTCACAGGGGGACTGACTGCGGACTGGCCAGATTCTTAAAGGCAGGGTGGTTGAGAGCTCCAGAAAAAGCCAGTAAGTGGAACTTAAAAGTTTTTTTTTTCTGTCAACTTATTTGAAATCATTAGGGAAATGGAAAGTACAATAGCACAACAGGAACTGTATGAGAAAAAACTGTGCTGAGAACAGGACAAAAAAACTGGAAATGTCTTTGTTCTAAAACGTAACGTGTGTCTGAGTAGACAGCAGTACAGACAAATGATCTCGCCCAGGTATTATCATATCTCTATATCTTACAGTAATGCTTTGTTCCCTCTTTTTCTGTAAAGCTTCTCGCTCCATCTCTTTGCTTCAGACCATATCCCGCACTTTTTATGTGTCTCCTCTTGGTGCATAGATTGTCTTTTCTCATCACTAGTCTTTAACTTCATAGCGAGGTGTTTTCCTGTTCACCCTCCTCCTTCACCATCATCACCTCCCCCGCTTCCACAGCTCCGACTTCTCCGTTCTCTTTCCCCTTTGGCTCCTCCTCGCCTTCTTCCTCGCCCTCCACGCCACGGTTCAGCCCCTCCCTCTCTGCATCACTCACAGCCATCTCGAGCTTTGCCGCCGGATCTTCCTGTTTTCTGCTGATGCAAAAGAAGTTGCCCAGGGTGATGACGATGGCAGAGAGTGTGACCTCGCAGCCCGCCAACAGGAAGACGTACATGTACTGCTTTGTGTAATCCAAGAGGCGACCTGGTGGAGAGTACAAGAAGATTAGCATGATTGTTACTGGTGCTCATCAAGCTGGAGTTATAAAGTGAAGCGCCTTCACACAACAGAAGACTGAGGAGCATCAGTGTCAGCGGCTGCAAAATGACATTAGTGAGCAAACCTTTCTTTGGTAAAGATTTGAGTCAATAATTATGGTTAGAAAGCTACTGTAAGCTTCAACCACGGCTACAGTTGGTTTCAGTCAGTGCCAGAAATGGGCTGAGTACTGACACTTCTGATTTTTGTCCATGAGGTTATTGCATACCTCCACCTCCCTAACACTTGATTTTTCCCTCCACTGACATTGCACAAAGATAAGCACTACTCTGCCTCTGATTGGCTAGTGTTTGTGAAGGGTTTAGGAGTGTCTAACCGTCTCGGTCACGGTTAGAGAAAAATGCGTCATCTATAAACATGTTGATCAAACACGTTTAAAAATAGAAACTGAAAGAAATTGACATTTTGTTTTTACATAGAATGACACTGGCACACATAGTTTATTTTACCTAAAAGGACAAAGTCCCTATTTCACTGTCATCTCTCCACAACCAGTATATCGTCATAAAATACCAAAAAATGATTTAAAAAGCAACAGCTTTGGATGTTTGGAAACATCTTGGTGAGAAAGCTCCTTTAAAGCTCTTTTTAAAAAATCTGCATATTTGTGTCCAAAATTGATAAAATCTGAAAATGAGGAGCCCTAAACATTACACAATCTCATCTGAACAAAAACAAAGTGCCGTTAGAAGAGACAGATTCCCATTCGTTCCTCTTGTTCTCTGACCTGCTCCAGGAGGTCCCACTAGTACGGCCATGGCTTCCATCAGCAGCACCAGGCCGATGGCGCTGGAGAACTTCTCCGTCCCTACGATAGCCATGAGGACCTCGAACTGAAGCGCTCCCACCATCCCATATGAAATACCGAAGAAGATGCAGAAGATGACCAGACCTGTATAGTCCTTCGCCTGCAGGAAAAGAAACAGGAAACATTGGAACAACAACAGGTAGAGGATGTACAGGTGATCTGAAGAGCCTAGAGCAGAGACAGACAGTAAGCTAGCCTAATCCCTTCCTCTCCATTCTCCCTGCAATATCGAACCCATTTCTGCAGTCCTACCTGTGATCCTATGAGGTCAGTGACCCCGTTGAAGATTATGGCGAAGCTGAACAGGTAGACACTTCTGGGCCGTACCCACTTTGTGCCTGCTACGAGTCCTGCCAGGGGCCGAGCAAACATATCAACAAATCCCAAGATGGTGAGCAGCAATGCAGACTTGGTGTCCTCGTAGTCGAGGGCTTTAGCGTAGTTGACCACAAACACAGGGGGCACAAACAAGCCCAGCACCATGATAGACGCTGCGACCGTGTAGATGACAAATCCTCTGTCCTTGAACACGCTGAAATCCAACAGTTTCTTCTTCGGCTTCTTCTCCTCCTCTGCAGCTGCGGGAGAGCTCTCCTTCAGCTCCAGCTCCTGGGGCTTCTTAGGGGGCACCAGGGGCCTCATGAGGGCACCGCAGGCACAGCAGTTGAGCAGCATCCCCCCCAGGATGAGGAACCCCCCTCTCCAGCCATACTGGTACTGGAGAATCTGTCCCAGCGGGGAGAGACAGCAGAGTGCCACAGGACTGCCCGCTGCCGCCAAGCCATTGGCCAGAGGACGTTTCTCGCTGAAGTAGCGATTCAGCATTATCAGAGACGGCTGGAAGTTCAACGCCAGGCCGAGACCTGAGGAGGGACAGACAGACAGACAGACAGAGAGGCAATGTTACAGAAATCATTTTTATGTGATTCCACCACTGTTAGTGAGCAGTACCTCAGACTTCTGCTAACATGTTGTAACTAAGAGTTACAACATGTTGTAACAGTTACAACACAAACAGATTAATCATAATTCTGGCTTTGCTTCAACATGTCTCAGCTTCAGTTTCATCACTGGTGCCATTATTTTCACCGTTGTTCCTCACGACAGTGACAGTTTGATCTGAGTTTGGTGCGTTGAGCTGGACCGACTCACTGAGGGTGACCTGTCAATCACAA